GATTTGGTGCTGTTGGATGTTACACCGTTGTCACTTGGTAAGCATATAATAGGAGATATCATGAGTGTTGTGATTCCTAGGAATACTACTATTCCTGTAAAGAGGACAAAACAATACATTACAACCGAAGATGACCAATCCTATGTCTTGATTCAGGTTTATGAGGGTGAGAGAACAAGAGCTAGTGATAACAATTTGTTGGGTTTTTTTAAGCTTACTGGCTTTCCTTCAGCCCCTCGTGGTCATTTTTTTAATGTGACCTTTGCCATAGATGAAAATGGTATATTATCTGTTTCAGCTGAAGAAAAAACTACAGGTAATAAGAACGAGATTACCATAACCAACGATAAAGACAGAATGTCAACCAAAGAAATTGAAAGAATGATACAAGAGGCAGAGATTTATAAGGCCGAAGATAACAAGTTTCTTAAGAAGGCCAAAACAAGGAATGATTTGGATTATTGTGTTTACAAAATAAGGAATGTCTTAAAGAAGGAGGATATAAACTCAATGCTTTGCTCACAAGAAAAAGAGGATATCAGTTCTGCTATAAATAAGGCTACTGATTTGCTTGATGAGAACTATGAGCAAGATGATATATCTATGTTCGAGGATTGTTTGAAAGACCTTGAGATCTTCTTTGGACGCCTCAAGGCCATGGGCTAGCTAGATTGTTTAGTTGTTCTTTAAAAGTAATTTGACGTTGACTTGCAATTTTCTTTTTTCTTAAATACAAACTATTGGTATTAACTTAAAATTGTCTAAGTTTGGTAACTTTTTATATACTGGATATTTTGTGGCTGACTGAAATTTACTTCTAATTTATCTTGTGATCGTTCCATGATTACATTACAGGGGTTTGTTTTTTATATATAAATGTGAAATATGAACTTAAACGGCAGAAATACTTAAAACTACCGTATATGCGTAGACATGAATGCATCTTGATTTCATAAAATGAATTTATATCTTCCTGGCCATTGGAAATCGCCACCTGGTATTTATATATTCCCATTAAGAGGGTCATTTGGAATTTATGTCTTTTATAGATATATGAGCAGTAAAATGGAGAAGACATGAAATAGAAAAAAAAAAGTTGAAAAATTTACTTAGAAATTCTCGAAGCACTTGAAAAGTCGTTTCAAATAATCTTCTAAAATCTGATGAGTTTAGATGTGATTGTTTTATGAATTTAGTATTTATAGATGCCACTAAAAAGTCTTTCAAAATCTCTTTAATACAACAACCCTTTAAAATCCCTAAAAAAAAATTAATTCTAATGGATTACTTTTAAGTTGTAAAAAGTCTCAAATGAATACCAATGGTTTTAATTGACTCTTTAAAAATCTTGAAAATTCATATTGAATACCACTGAATTGTTTTTAAGTGACATAAAATCTTAATCAAATACCAACAGACTTTTTTATTTAAAAAAATCTTTTAAAATCCTATAAAATTCTAAACAGTACACCCCCTTATTTTAATTGAATTAACCTATAAGGTAATCTACTCAAGTATGAGTTAACTTATAAGTTTTCAAATAATTTATTAAAATATTTTTTTTTGCACACACTAGTCAATTTCGTATGTCTTGTAAAAAAAGAAAATATATACTTAAATATGATTTTAATACGAGGAGGGACCTGTTTATTCCATGAGTAAGTCTACATAAACTTACCTTGTTCAATAACTTATGTTCTACATCAAATTTTAACAATCCAACCGTTGAATTTAAAGTTCTTAATACATAAATCAAATATGTAAATTTTTAAAAAAAATTGAAAATTATTTGATACTTTATTTCATTAATTCAAATTGATAGATAATCATAAATTTATTTTATACATTGATTTGAATTAATGAAACAAAATATCAAATGATTTTCAAATTTTTTAAAAATTTACAGACTTAATTTATGTATTAAAAACTTTAAATTCAACGGTTAAATCGTTAAAATTTAATATAAAACATGAGTTATTGAACGAAATAAGTCTAAGTAGACTTACTCCTCGAGTAAACGGATCCCTCCTATTTTAATACTTATGAAATGAACAAAATTTGAATTTAATACTTATAAAAAAATAAATTTTTTATTCCTTTAAAATTTAAAACTATTATTTTTAATTCATAGTATTATGTGATCCTTATTAATCATTTATGTGTTTATTATAAGGTGTCAATAATATATATCCGTGTGTGCTATTTTAAATTTTTTTATAAAATTTTAAAATAAATATTATTTATCTATCTTAAAATAATCATTAAAATAAGAAAATAACGACATTGAGACTTAGAAGAGTGAAAATTAAAGAAAATTATTTAATAAATTTAAAAATAAAAAATTACTCATATTATAAGGAGCAAAATTAATAATTCCAAATTTTAAAGTGATAAAAAAAATTACCAAAACGAAGAGCAAAACTCGTTCATCCATTATTTTTCTATGAAAATACAATAAGATTTTGACTATTATTTTAATTGATAAAAATATATAATTGACATAATTAAGACACTATATTTTGATTCGGATTAATTGATAACATTAATATATTCTTATTCAAAATTATAACATTGATTCAAGTTAAAGCAATAAATAATATTCAAACTAATGTGATTGCAAGTAATATATAAGATGACAAAAATACTCGTATATGTGAGTATTTGTGGATAAAATCTGTCATAAATAATAAATAAATTGTTTAAATGGATATCGGCAGATAATGAATATATGTAATTTTTTACTTGTTTACAAACGCAGCGAGCAGGAGGTACGGTAGTATCCATATCCGCGATTACTTCCTAAATAATATTACTTAAATATTCACATTTCTATCTTACATCTTTTTTATTATTTTTAATCTTTCAAAAATATCATTAATTACAAGTTCAAAAATTAATATTAATTATTTGTTTAAATATTTCAATATACTTAACATTAAATATAAGTTTAAAGTTATTTATAATATTTGCTAATTTTTAAAATAATTCATAAATATCCATAGATATTTATAAAATTTGCAGGATCCATTAAATAGATATCTACACAAATATAGAACGAATTGGGTTAGATTTTTATATAACGGGCAGGTACGGATATCCTATTACCCACTCCACGAAACCTTATTGTCATTTATAGCAATTAAAAATCGATAGAAAATCATAAGTTAGGAGTTCAATTTGGTTTCTAAAATTCTAAAATCATGTGATTTAGTTTGATTTTCAAATTAGAATTTGAAATCGTTTCAAATCAAATCAAATCACATTTATTTGTAAATATTTTTTTTTTCAAATACATAGTAGATGTGTACAAAATTGACACATAACATATAAAAATGTGTTTTATAAAATTATAAGTTGCAAAAAAATGTTTTTCTCTCCAAATATATGTTATAATATCTAAAAGGTATTTTATAAAATTGTAAACTACTAAACTGAATTTAGAATAAAAAAATATTATTTATTTATAATGTTAAAAATTTAAGTGACAAACTATATATGAGAAAAAAATATTTAATATGATAATTGTATTAAAGAATATTTTTTACTAAAATAATAAGGTTAGAATTAGTATTAAATATATTAAGTGACTAAAATATTTGAGTATTTGCATACTTTTAGTTTTATTATTTTTATGTACGACTTTAAACAATTAACATAATCTTATATATTTTTTTATTTTAAAATAACAAATTTGTAAAATCGCAAAAATTGAACCAAATCAAACCGTAAAAGATTAGTTTAGTTTGGTTTGGATTTCATAATTTATTCAAATCAAACTAAATTAAATTGTATTTAATTTTCTTATTTGGCTTGGATGACTTTTAAGACAAAAATCAACTTAAGCTGCACCGCAAACACCCTTATACACACACACATATATATATATATATATATATATTGATGAGTTAAACATGTTTTTAGTCCCTATTATTATGTGATCATTTTTAATTACTTATTTTTTTTATTAAAAGATTAAGTGATCATCTTAGATGTTACATACAACTTTTAATGGTATTATGTTTGTATGCAATACATCTAAATTGTTTAAAGATCTTTAAAATAAACGTTATTTATATGTCTTGAAATCATCATTAGGAACAAAAAAGAATTAGTAATTTAAGATTTTAAAATACTTAAAATCAAAGAAAAAAATAGTTTATAGGGTCCAAAATCAAAATTTACTCATTTTACAACAACAAACAATACTTTACAAGAACTAGAAACAATGTTTACAAAACTTAAAAGGATGAAAAACAAATAAAAATTTTATAAAGACCAAAATCAAAATTTACTCATTTTATGCGAAATAAAAATATATTTAAGTCTATTTTGATTTAAATTATTGGATAACATTAATATTAGGCTAAATTGCATTTTTGATTTTTCTACAAATATCATATCCATACTTTTGGTTCATTTATTTTTTTGCAATTTTAATCTTTCAATTTCATTAAATTTGTAATTTTGGTGGTCTCATCAAATGTTCATCCATTAATTATTAAGTAAATGATACAATTATTAATTAATAATATTTAGATTAAATTACACTTTTAATTCTTATTTTTTTTTTATCCATTTTCACCTCATTTTATATAACTTTTACAATATAAAATAAAAATAATTGAAAGTAAAATTTAATTTAAATATTATTAAATTTTGATTGTTATGTCATCTAATTAATGTTATTTCACAATTAAATTAAAATTACAAATTATATGAAATTAAAAAACTAAAATTATAAAATTAAACATAGAAAAATCAAAATAACATATTTAATATTATAGAAGATAAAAATGTAATTTAATCTAAAAATTAATATTCGATACTTGAACATTAATCCAAAATATTTTCAATATTAACATCTCTTATTTTATTTTGTTTCTTTAATTTTTTATTAATCAAATTAATATATAAAGAAGATACCTCCATTTCATCTCCACCTTTTATTAAGATGCTTTTAATCCTATATTGTATTTTAATATCTTCTCTCACTAACTATCTCTTAAGGATAAAAACATGAAAATAAAAAATAAAAAAATAAATATCTACTTTATCATTAACTAGTAGAAAAAGAGGTATTTGTTGCCTCACTATATTTATTTTTTAGGTAATTTTTATATAAAAAAAACTAGTTGTGATAAAAAAATATTAAAATTTAAAAAAAGATAATTTTTTTTATTGTGGAAGTGATTTTTTTTTTTTTTAAATTATAAGGTATGTAAGAATAAAAGTGTCTAATAAAAATGAATACTAAATTACTAAATAATATCCTTTATAATAAATATAAAGATAATCATTCACTTATTTTATTATTATTTTTTAAATAATGATATAAAGCTACTTTTTCTCTACTAAAAACAATATTTTTTGGAGCACGCAATTTTATAAAATAAAATGCTATAAAATATGTATGAATATAAGATTATTTAAGTTTATTTTAATATCCATGTACATACTTGGTTCAAACAAAAATAAAGTTGCAAAAGTGCATCATGTGGACGACGATTCATTACTACCTCATCTGGTAGGGTCGTCAGTTCCCAAGTATAACTTAGGATATCACACCAACAACAGAAATTTAATCTAAGTAATTTATTTTTTTTTAAAGAATTTTAATTATTTTAAGATAAAACATTTTGTTTTGACGGAAGAATTTGTTAATAATTTAAAATATAAATATTTGTGAAAATTTTAAAAATAGTAGAATTTTAAATTTTCTAAAAAAAAGTAAGAATTTAAAATTATTCATATTTTTATTTTATTTTATTTATATATCTTTTACCTCAATTATTTTTT